AAAAAAAAAAAAAAAAAAAAAAAAAAAAAAAAATGATACCTCTCTGAAACACATTAAAAACAATTTTTAGTATACTAGTTGTACTAGGAAAATTTCCTTTTCTGCATTCTTAGACAGGATTTTTTTGTTTTATTTTTTGAGATAGGGTCTCACTATGTAGCACAGGCTGGCCTCAAACTCATGTCAATCTTCCTTCCTCAGCTTCCTGAGTGCTAGAACTACAGGTGTGCACCATCATGCCAGGCCTAAGAAATTTTCTTTTTCTTTCTTTCTTTTTTAAGGAGTTGAGTTAAATATACTTTTATTTTTATTTATTTATCATCATCATCATCATCATTTATTTATTTTTGGTACTGGGGATCAAACTCGGGACCTTGCACTTGCAAGGCAAGTGGTGGAACCACTGAGCTAAATCCCCAGCCCCTAGAAATTTTCTACTGTTTCAAAAATTTAGAATATACAGATGAGTGTTGAGATGAAAGGAATGAATACCCCATATTAAAACTATTGATTAGTGTCTTCCATTTTTGCTGAGAGCCAGAGGAGATCATCATTTGAATCCACTACTGAATGTCCTGTCCTATTTCTGTCCTAGAGCACTTGGGTGTTTTTATCTATTTTTGTTCATCCCATGGGCATCTCCATGAGTTCCAGGTCTCTTCCTTCCAGTTTTAATGATATTCTTTTAGTGTTGTTCTTAGTTTTGAGAAAGATCTTTGTAATACATTTGTTGGTCTGATTGCTTTGCTGCTTACTGTGATAATGTAGCTTGGAACAGATACATTAGCATTTGAAGATCTTGGTCTCTGCCCCAATTCAGGTATATCTTGCATCCAAACTTGGGATTAAAAAATTTTTTTTCTTTTATAGCAATTGTAACGTGCATACAAATGAATATTTCTGTAGCATTTAATAGAACTATCTTTATGTTCATATATTCCTTTGTCCTTTGTATTTTCCTTTCTTACCCTTATAGCTATGGTAGGTACAATCTTTCTTTTTGAGACAGGGTCTCACTGTGAAGTTAAGACTGACCTGGAACTCACTATGTAGCCCAGGCTCGTCTCAACTCATAGCAATCCTCCTGCCTCAGCCTCCCGAGTGCTGGGATTACAGGTGTGCGCCACCACGTCCAGCTAGTAGGTACAATTTAAAAACACTGCAAAATCACTAAACATTCATAATAGAGTTCTGAAAATTTTATTTAGATACATGACATAATGACCTGGACCAGAATGCTGCAGGAGTAGTTAGAGAAACATATAGACGAGTCCTTCATGGGTATTTCTAAGGACATTTAATTTTCAATGAAATTGTGCAGTTTTTATTTCATTTCCTTGATAATTTTCCTAATATTCAGTAAATATCTTTCTTGACTGCTAAAGGAAGATCTTATTTCTTCGTAGTGTTCCCAGTTAAAGTCTTTTTGGAACAGAACTACCTGTAAGGACTGCATTTTTTAATGTAATATCAGCAGGTCTTTTGGGGGGGATACTAAACCTGAAATTCACTGTACAGAACACAGTCACAGTGATTTTTCATTTGCCCTTCTAACTGAAGGTGGTATATTGTCTCTCTCTGATGCCAGAATGTGGTACAACATAATCCTTTCCTATACTTAGCATGAATTTATTAGATATAGTCCCTGCACACAGTCCAGCAGAGAACCCTGCATTACAGAAATAATTCTTGTGCTGCTGAGCTGGCAATTTGCCCACTTAATCACTTGTGTGATGTCATTTGTGCCGTTGGTAGGAAATGTGCTGACCATATCCTGAGTTTTAAAAGGCGTTGTGACAGGACATTGACCAGAAGTGAAATTTAAAATAAACCTTCTAAGTTATAGTGTATGTATTCAAACTCCAATATTATCAAAGTGGTAAAAGTATTATTTTAATCAGTAAGTCTGCCTTGGAGAACTACATTTTAGTTGGTCACCTTGCAATCAACTGATATGCTCATTCCAAATTACCTTCTGGCACCAGAGTGATTGCAGAGTGTGGAGTTGTGGGGAGAAGTAGGTAGGGAAGGGGTCTCATCCACAAAGGTGGTTTTGTTGTTTTGGAGTGAGTCTTAACCATTTCGCTTCTGTTTTATAATAAGGCTCATACAGAACATTGATTATTGGCTTGAGAGTTTTATAATGGTATATGCAAATGGAAGAGTCCAGATGTTGGACACTGATGACTGTACTAGATTGCTACTGAATCTTACAGGGAGAAGGCAGGACCCCTAATGTATATTTGATTTCTTGGCAGGAAGATGGATACTATGATGCTGAATTTGCGGAGTCTATTTGAGCAGCTTGTGCGCCGGGTGGAGATTCTCAGTGAAGGAAATGAACTCCGTAAGTCATTTTGAGCTGGTTTGTATAAAAAGGAAAAACAGATTTCAGATTTGGGTTTTCTACAGAGCTGAAGTATGTTCCAATTTTAAAGTTGCTTTTCATTTGAGGTACCTAAAAAAGAAAGTGATGGGCACTTATCCATGGTCAGAGCTTAATGGGTACTCATTCCAAATGGTCACTAAATTTTTTTCTGTAGTTACTCTTAAATGGATTTTATCGTTATCAAGGTTCTCTTCCCACTGCATAGTTGGCGTTAGTTGCCATTTTCACTTTTGTACCACAAACTGGGAATAATCTGGTTTTCCAAGGATGATGCTTTTTTTTTTTTGTTTTTTTGAGACAGGGTCTCACTATGTAGTTGAGACTGCCCTGGAACTCACTATGTAGCCCAGGCTGGTCTCGAACTCACAGCGATCCTCCTTCCTCAGCCTCCCGAGTGCTGGGATTACAGGCATGAGTCACCACACCTGGCTGATGCTTTTTTTTTTTTAGAATGATAGTTCATATATGTGTGTGTGTGTGTGTGTGTGTGTGTGTGTGTGTATTCATATTTGTATATCTATATGTATTAATATATTGGCCTTTCTCTGTTTTGTAAAACATTTTCTTTTTTTAGGAGGGACTGGGCATTACTTTTACCTATTTCTTGTGTTTGATGCATGGTAATAAAGGATTGAGTTGGTGAGGAGTACTGGGGAGAAAAAGGTGTTGATAGAGGGAACGATCTGCAAAGTAAATTAGCAAGAAAAAGAAGTGGGGTTAATAGCACTGATTTTATGTGATCTAAGGGAATTATTCTGTGCTAGCTTCTATTTCACAGGTTCAGTATTAGCCAATTTAGTAAATGTTGCTCTCAAGTCAGCCTCATTCATATAAAAGTAATGTAAGAACTGTGTCTTGAACTTTTCTTTATCTCTGTAGTACTTGGTGTGGCTTCTTGCTTATGCCTTTCAATATTTTCTTTAAATTGATTGATGCTTTTAATAGCTCTTATCCACTTACAGTCCTTTCAGAACAGTATTCTATTTTCTCTCTCTAATAGCTGCTGCATGACCCTGTCAGCTGGTACCAGCTCAGTAACCACAATGGCATACTAATCAGGCTTCTCTTTGCAGTCACATCATCTTGGAAGATGGATTACTTTTCAGTCTAGTGGGAAGGATATGGAATAAGATCTTAAAACTCAGGTTCAGGCTGATTTAGCTCAGTGGTTCCAGTGCCTGCCTCACAAGTGCAAGGACCTGAGTTCGATGCCCGGTACCAAAAACAAAAAAACCTCAGGTTCATTCAGCAAATATTTTGTGAAAACCTAGCAAAGCTTCTAGCACGTGATGAATTGAGGGAAAGGGACAATTAAATGGCTACATGGAGGAAAGTAGGGTTTGAGTTGAGCCTTAGATGTAGGTAGTATCCTAACAGGCAAAGAAGAAAGGGTGTCTCAGGTCAAGCAACAGCTAGAGTGGAGGCAAGAGGGTTTGAAGTGAATGGGAGTAAGGGTGTGTGACATAATCACAAATGTGCTTTGGGAAGATTAGCCTGGGAGAGGGTGTAGGCTGCACTAGAGGTGGAGGCTGGGTGTCTGACTAGGAAGGAGATGGTTGCCACAGCTCAGGAAAGAGGCAGTAAGAGGAATTCCATCCTTAACTAAATAATGCTTTTGCAGTGGTGCTTATGAGGTTGGAAACAAGGGGAAATGGGTAGAAGAGATAGTGGTCATAAGACCTCTGGGAGGAGATAGCTGAGAGCATGTGGGGGCAGAGGGAAGAATCTGAGGTTTAGCGTCTTGGTAACAACTGCTGGCTGTAAAATTGGAGTTGAAATAAATGTCTTTATTTTCTTTATGGAAGTGCTGTGAGGATTTGTGGGTAAACTGAATTAGATACTAGTAGTAAAAATACTTTTAGAAGTAGTCATGCCCCCCAAAAACAAACCCAACACACCCTTAAACAAGATACTTATTTTTACAGATATCTTTATCATATAAACACATTTCTAGTTTCTCATTGATAACTTATTTTTTTTTGAGGTTTCCCTGCAGTGCTTTATTAAGACAAACTGGAGTGGGGAGCCTGGACCCAGCCCACCCTGGAGACCAAAGCCCCCTCCCCCTGACTCCGCAGCAGCCACCTGTCTGTTTGCTGTGCTGCAGGGTGGGCAAATACTGGACCCCAGGTGGAGCTGCTGCATGCCTGGCGGAGGAGTCCCCGACACCTTCCTCACAGGCATCATCATTGATAACTATTTTATAATTCTAATATTTTCTAACTTGGAATGTTGGCTTTTGAGAAATCGTTTTTTAGATTTTAGAACCTTCTTTGTGTAGCCATTCTAGTATTCTTCCTCTTCTCAGATCCTAGGAAATTCCCATTTCCTCATATCTCTTGGCTCCTTACTCTTGCTTTTCATCACAACTTTATTCCTTTCTTTTTTTGTTTGGTTTTTCTAAAACCTAAGTCTAAGGTTATTGAAACATCTGAGTGAAAGTTAATATTCAAATAAAAGTAGCCTGAGTATTTTGTTATTCACCCCCTTCCCATCTACATGGTATTTATTTTCTAATTTTGCCACACTGGGGATTGAATCCAGGGCCTTACATGTGCTAGGCAAATGCTCTAGCATTGAGCTCCATCCCCAGTTATTTTTAAAATTTTATTTTGAGGCGGAGTTTCACTAAATTGCCCAGGCTGAATTAACTTGCATGTTTTCCTGACTACCAAATAGAGGTCACAGGTGTATACTACCCAGCCTGGCTATCTTCTATTTTTATTTTGTTATAAGCCACTTGAATCTTTCTGGTGTCATTAGTGTGTAAGTTAGGAATAGGTATAACTTAATATTTAGCAGGTGCCTATTGTGTGCCAGTGGCAGACAGTATGAGATTTGTGTTATATAGTACTATATTAGGAGATAGTTTCAGAGATAGGATTTTCTTCTAATGAAACAAGATAGTACAATTATCAAACTACATACTTTTGGCAAGTTTAGAGAGATTTAATGTGGAGCAAAGTAGAAAAGTATTCATGGAATAGATGGGACTCAAAAATGGGTATGTAAAGAGAAATGCATAGCTTGGTCACAGGTGAGAAGGCAGAAATAAATGTGGGCCTGTTCTGGGGGCAGGGACTGAGAAGTTTAGCTAGAGAAGGTGTTTATTATGTAGTAGTGGGAGGTAAGTTTGATTAGACTAGTAAGGTAGGCTTTGATGCCAGGAGTTTAAATTTGTTCTGAAGAGCAGTTCTTCATACACCAAATAGTCAAGTACCTACATGTGCTAGGTATAAGTGCAAGGCACTGGAGATAAAAGAGCAAAATAGACACAGGGTCCTTGCCCTTAAGTTCAGAGGGTAGTGAGACAAAGGGAAGAGCTTGTCCAAGGATGTGGGGCTGGGGGTAAGATGGGTGGGTGTTGAAAAAGAAATTGGGACAAACCACTTAAATCCGTTTGCTGAACTATGCACCAAATCATGACTTTTAAAAATGAATCGTAGGGCCGGGATTTAGCTCAGCAGTGCCACCGCCTGCCTCGCAAGCACAAGGTCCAGAGGTACCAAAAAATGAATCATAGATCAGGCTGGGGATTTAGCTCAGTGGCACCCAGCCTCATATGTGCAAGGTCCTGAATTCAATCCTCAGTACAAAAAGAAAAAAAGAATCATAGATTATCTTCAATTTGTTCTAATGAAATTTCTCTTTTATTTGTGTGCAAGGTAGGGGTGGGAAAGTGAACCTAGGGCCTTCACACTGAGCCAGGCCTGTTTTAAATTTTTTTTTTCTTTTTTAAAATTTTGAGACAAGATCTCACTAATTTGATAAATTGTCCAGGCTTGGCTTGAACTTGGGATCTTCATTTCTCAGTTTCCCAGATTGCTAGGATTATAAGTGTGCACCACCATGTCTAGTGCCTTCCTTTTTAATATATGTCTGGCTCTTTTTTTTTTTTTCATTGAGTTTATTGGTACTTTTTAAGTATACAGTACAGTTACATTCGTCACTGGGATCTTGTACCTTTACATGACAGATCTTGGTTCTCATTTTTTCACCATACCCCTGCCCTCCCTTCACCCCCTCCACCTGTCTGGCTCTTTTTGGTAGATAAACTTCGTAGTTTATTATGTATTTATATATATAGCCTTTTTTTTTTGGTACCAGGGATCAAACTTGGGTCCTTGTGCTTGCGAGGTAGGCAGCGGCACTACTGAGCTAAATCCCCAGCCCTTGTGTGTATAGCCTTTTAAAGCAGGGACTCTGAATTTAATAAAGCTTTTTTTGTTGTTGTTGTTTTTGTTTTTTTGAGACAGGGTCTCACTATGTAGTTCAGACTGCTCTGGAACTCTGTGTAGCCCAGGCTGGTCTCAAATTTGCAGTGATCCTCCTTCCACAGCCTCCCAAGTGCTGGGATTACAGGCGTGCGGCACCATGCCCGGCTAATACATTTTTTCAATGTCTGCTTCATGATGGGCTCAAACCAGGCTGAACTGTAATTCACAAATGGACTAAAAATTACCAAATTTTAACCAAATAATACCAAATTTATTAATTTCTAAAATCAAATTTTCTGGTTTGTGGTCCATAGTGCCTTTTGTCTCACTTCTAGCAAATTTTGCGCGCATCAGAATTGTACCTGAAAGGGATATCTTTTTATTTTGGTATTGGGAATCAAACTCAGGACTTTTCACTTGCGAGGCAGGCAGCGGAACCACTGAGCTAAATCCCCAGCCCTGAAAGGAATATTTTAAATCAGGCATTCCAATGCCAATTAGCAGTTAGTAGGAATAAAAGTCCAAACTTAATAAAACTTATCCAACCTCTCCTATTCAGTATAGTTCTAGAAACATTAGCCATAGCAAGTAGACAAGAGAAAGAAATAAAAGGAATAAAGATAGGAAAGAAAGAAGTTAAACTGTCACTGTTTGCTGATGATATGATACTCTACATAGAAGACCCAAAAAACTCTGCCAAAAGACTGCTAGGCTTAATTGACAGATTCAGTAGAGTAGCTAGATACTCTCAACACTCATAAATCAATACCCTTCTTGTACACAACAGACTCACTGAGAGAGAAATTAAGGAAATCCTTTCACAGTAACATCCAAAAAAATGAAATATCTAGGAATAAATCTAACGAAGGAGACAAAAGTCCCCTACACTGAAAATTGCAGCACTCTGAAAACAGATAGAAGAGGACATAAGAAGATGGAAAGACATCCCTTACTCCTGGGTAGGAAGAATCAACATAGTGAAAATGGCCATACTTCCAAAACTGCTATACAGATTCAGTGCAGTCCCAATTGAAATCCCAGCAGTATATTTCACAGAACTTGAGAAAATAATCCAAAAATTCATTTGGAACCAGAAGAGACCTAGGATAGCAAAAACCATTCTAAGCAACAGAGACATGGCAGTGGGTATCACAAGCCCCAACTTGAAACTATACTACAAAGACACTATGTTAAAAACAGCATGGTACTGGCAAAGAAACAGACCCAAGGATCAATGGAATAGATTAGAAGATGCAGAAACAACACCAGACTTACTCAGCTACCTCATCCTTGACAAAGGAGCCAACCATCCTCACTGGAGGAAAGATAGCCTCTTTAATAAATGGAGTTGGAAAAAATAGCTTTCAATTTGCCAAAGATTGAAACTAGATCCCTATCTTTCACCATGCACTAAACTAAAATCCAAGTGGATTAAAGATCTAAATGTCAAAACAGAAACACTAAATTTAATGGAAAGTAAATTAGGTAGAACTCTCAAAGACATTGGCATAGGAGAAGACTTTTTGAACAAATCCTCAGCAGTACAAGAATTTGCACAAAGAGTAAACAACTGGGATCTCATTGTATTAAAAAGTTTTTGCAGCCGGGCGTGGTGGCACACGCCTGTAATCCCAGCACTTGGGAGGCTGAGGCAGGAGGATTGCTGTGAGTTCGAGACCAGCCTGGGCTACATAGTGAGTTCCAGGGCAGTCTCAACTACATAGTGAAACCCTGCCTCAAAAAACTACAAAAAAAAAAGTTTTTGCAGAGCCGGGGATTTAGCTCATTGGTGCTGCCACCTGCCTCACAAATGCAAAGATCCAAGTTTGATCCCCGGTACACACACACACACACACAACACACACACACACACACACACAGAGAAAGTTTTTGCAGTGCAAGAGAAATCACCAATAGAGCTAAAAGACAACTTAAAATGTGGGAAACATTTTTAGCAGCTACTCCTCAGACAAAGGACTACTATCTAGAACATATAAAGAACTCAAAAAAATCAGACCCCCCCCCAAATATAAAGTCCGGATTCAAAAATGGGCATCTGAAATGAAGAGACATTTCTCAGACAAAGAAGTAAAAGCTGCAAATAAATATATGAAGAAATGTTCATCATCACTGGTCATTTGAGAGATGCAGATGAAAACAACACTGAAATTCCACCTCACCCCAGAAAGAATGTCTTCTATCCAGAAATCAACCAATAACAAATGCTGGTGGGGTTGTGGGGAGAAAGGAATCCTTCTCCATTGTTGGTGGGAGTGCAGACTGGTGCAACCACTGTGGAAATCAATATGGAGATACCTCAAAGAACTAGGATTAGAGGTTCCATTTGACCCAGCTATCCCTCTGCTGTGTATCTTTCCAAAATAATTAAAAGAATCATATCACAGTGATATATGCACACCCATGTTTATAGCGGTACATTTTATAGTAGCTAAAACTTGGAAACAGCCCAAATGCCCTTCAGTTCGAGATTGGATAAAGATGTGGTTTTTCTGTAAAATGGAGTACTACTCAGCCATAAAGAATGAGAAACTAGAAATATTATGGTTAAGTGGATGCACATTGAGACTATACTCTTTATTTTATTTTATTTTTATTTTTGATACCAGGGATCGAACTTGGGTCTTTGTGTTTGCAAGGCAGGCGACAGAACCCCTGAGCTAAATCCCCAGCCCCGAGACTAGTCCCTTAAGTGAAATAAATGTGACACACTTGAGCAAATACTGAATAGTTTTTCTGGTGTAAAAAACTAAAAGTGTAAATAAGGTTCAAATAGTATAATTGGGAGTGTAAAATAGGAAGAAAATGGCTGAAGGGGAAGTGGGAAGGAGAGGGGAAAGGAAATAAGGGAAAAGAAAAAATGTGAAAAAATGGAAACAAAGTCTTTGTAAAGAGGGAAGGATGAAGGGGATGAAGGGGATGAAGGGAGACCAGGGGTATGGGGAAAAATCAAGAACCAAGATATATCATGTAAAGGTACAAGATTTCAGTGATACATGTAATTGTATTGTTTGCCTTAAATGTACCAATAAACAATGGAAAAAAAATTTATCAAGAAGTATCATGAGCAAACAAGCAAAAGTAGGCTGAATGAAAATTTGTTCATTCTGATTGTTTTTCATTTCAGTAAATATTTGACTGTATATCTAATAATTATTTAGGAATACCGTGTCACTGACTACAATGTGGAGCTAGAAAATTTTTAGACTGTGTAGTTGAAGAGTGTCCTTCTTGTTCTGTATTTTTTGAAATCAAAGCATTACATACATCACCAACATGCAGAAGCCAAAAGTGCACTGTTTGGTGTGAGTTATCATAGTAAATGGCCAAGTAAGAAGCTCTTGTTTACATTTTTTGTATGAATCTCAAATATTGAAATAGTTAAATTTGCAAAAGGATGTATTGATATTTTTGCTTAAAAATTAAAAAGTAGCATTCCAGACTTCTTTATTCTATATAATTATATATATTATATATTATAATTATATTCTTTATTATATATTATAATTTATAATCTGTATTATACTTTATTTTTGGCTAATGATATTTACATTGTGTAGGATAACTAGGTCATGACACCTTATTTTACTAAAATTTGCTAAAAAGTAAAGTTTTACAACTTACTTTCTTTAGAATGAATTACAACTTTGAAACTTAGTCAAGTTTTAAAACCTTCTGAAAAACAACACCATATTGTTTCTCCCATCCAAGTACTAACCAAGTCCAAACCTGCTTAGCTTCTGTTTTGTTTTGGTTTTGGTTTTTTGAGACAGGGTCTCATTATGTAGTTGAGACTGACCTGGAACTCACTGTAGCCCAGGCTGGTCTCGAACTCACAGTGATCCTCCTGCCTCAGCCTCCCAAGTGCTGGGATTACAGGCATGTGCCACCACGCCTGGCCCTGCTTAGCTTCTGAGATCAGACCAGATTGGGCACTTTCAGTGTGGTGTGGCCACAGACCCCATATTGTTTCTAGGTTAAATTCGAGTAGGGAAAGTACCCTTGCTTCCTAGAAATTGGCCAGCTTTGTGTGAATGTGGCCCAATTTCAGCTATAAACTAGGTTAGCTTGACCAGCAGCAATATATAACTTGGAACCTTTTTCCATTATGTTGGTGGAAAGTGATGGTTAAAGATAGACGTTAACTAGAAAACGGTAGGGCACTTTTGCAAATGCATTATAGAAGGACCGTCTTCATCAATAGCAGATGTTAAGAATAGATGCCACCAGCGTTATTTAGCTCTGAGGTGCTGCCTTGGAAGCAGTTCAGTCTTTGCAGACATTTGAAGAGTCCACATTCTGCCATCAGTGACTTTCAAAGAGCCAGTAGGATCTTCTCTGCTGTTTTTCCAACTGGAATGTTTACATACCCTTCAGGGCAGTGTTAAACAGCAAAAGCAAATGGGCACTTTACTTTCAAATCAATATTTATATAATTATATAGTTGAATGGAATTGCATGTCTGGACATCTATAATATTAATCTATATCTACTGGAGCATATTATAACAGTTACATTTGAATTTGCTGTTTAATGTCTCTGATGGAGTAACGCATGACCACAGAGGAGGCTGTTTTTGTTTTATAGCTGTAACTGTCCTGGTGCATGACAGCTGCCCCAAAGGTATCCCCTTTGATTACCTTCTGTTCAGGAGCTTACAGTGTTGATGTTACATCTGGAGCCAGGTGACTAATGAGTTACATATTCCGTAGCAGATGCCGCTGGCTAAACCAAAAGTAACTGGCCCTGTATGAATCAGGAATTGCTCCCGACGAAGCTCTTGTCTAGAGTAACAAATGTACTCGTGATTATTTTCAGCTGGGTTTGCCAATAGTTCACCTGGTCCCTTTATGGAGTAAAAGTAGCTATAGCACCCATTTATTTGAGCTGTTATACTCTAATACTGAGTTATTAATATTAAAGCTTTTACCTTTCCTCAGAATTCATCCAGTTGGCAAAGGACTTTGAGGATTTCCGTAAGAAGTGGCAGAGAACAGACCATGAGCTGGGGAAATTCAAGGATCTTTTGATGAAAGCGGAAACTGAGCGTAGCGCTCTGGATGTTAAGCTGAAGCATGCACGTAATCAAGTGGATGTAGAGATCAAACGGAGACAGCGGGCTGAGGCTGACTGTGAGAAGCTGGTGTGTATTGTTTTTCTCTGCTAGGGCAGTGGTGATGGGGAAGGGATGCGTCATCTGATAATGTTTCCACTTGCCAAATGCACCTAGTTTCTTCTTCCACATTAAAGATCTAAAAGCACCCTGTCCTTTGACTGGAGCTGAAATTGCAGGCTATGACTCTTATAGTTTGAAATTAAAATTTATGTTCTTCTTCAGACTTGAAAATATTACTCAACAGACAGATTTCAGACAATTTAAAGAATTAAAATGAGGAGGAAAGTCAGGAAAATTCTAGTGTTCTTCATCTGTCATAAGTTATTGGCCATAAGTGCTACCCAGAATATTTGCATTCTTCTATGAATAATAGTCCTTTGATATTGACACAGGCAAGGCAACTGTTGTTCTGTTTATCACTGTTGTCTAATTCAGGATAAAGGGCTGGATGTATTCAACTTGTTGAGCAGTGTGACTGATATAGAGCATTATCATTTTGCTGTGCTAGGTGGGTCATGGTGCAAAAGGAAACCCTTTGCTAGGAGGAACTAATTGATTTTGGTTCTATGTTAGATGCTTCAGTAAGCTCATATTGTCTGGTTCCTGTGTGTTACAGCTTTGTATCCATTTTAATGCATTTCCTCCACCACTTAGAAAGGTGAGTGATTGCTTTGATCCATGCAAGACGCCAATAACTGTCCTGATAAAAATGACACTAAAGTGTTTTTGCTATGTGAAATCTATTTTAGAACCCTCATTTTGTGTAACTTTCCTCTTAGATTAGCAGTTGGATCCAAAAATCCTGTAGCAGAAGCCCCTTTATTCTAAAGTTCATTTTACCATCAGAAATCAGACTCACAATCTGAGCTTGATGTGAATTAATATGCTATTGGTGTAGCTGCCTTCCTGAAGGCCCATTTGCATAATGCTGTATTTTAATGTCTTTTGGTCTGCCTGTCCCATAAATTTGAGGTGAAGCTTTCTTCTCTGGCTAGTTATAATGTTTTACTCTGCTCTGGTCTGTAGGAACGACAGATTCAGCTGATTCGAGAGATGCTCATGTGTGACACATCTGGCAGTATTCAACTAAGCGAGGAGCAAAAATCAGCTCTGGCTTTTCTCAATAGAGGCCAACCAACCAGTGGCAGTGCTGGGAACAAAAGGTGGGGGAACTGCATCTGTTGTTATCTGATCACAAGCAACACAGCTGTCAGAATTCCTGTTATCTGAACCCTGAAATATACTGCTTTTGGAATGTGTGCTGAAGAAAGCAAAAAAAGACTTTGGGGGAAGGGTGATGGGTAATAAAGACACAGAGGCTTCCTTATTTGTTTTATTTTTGCTTTCCTTTTATTATACTTTGTCACCATGAGTGAAATTCTGATGTTGGTGCTAAATTGCACATCAATAAGTAATCCTGCACATTGTTAAGAAACCTAGGGTGAAAGTGGCAGTTCAGCAATACTGTCACTGTTTACTCTCCAGAGAGCTCTTGTAGCTTTTCTAGTTTAGAAAGGCTGCTGTGAGCCAGGACAAGAGAGTAATTTTGGTTCCACAGTCTTGCTGTTTAAAATAGTCTCAGCAAGGCTTTGAATTTAACACCCCTGATGCAATAAGTAGGGAAAGGTCAGCACTCTTAGAGCTATTTGTTTTATTGCCTGGTTTTATGGAGAATCTTTACAACTGAGAAGATGTATGGGCTTAATTTCTTAAAAAAACCAGTGCTGGGTAATATTATCATAGCAGCCACAGTTGGGGTCAAATTAAACCTCACTTTTCTTTAGGGAGCAGCACCCATATCCCTGGCTGTAACTTTCACTTGTTTTAAGCCCTTTGCTGAAAAAGCAACTACACTGCACCTGTACTTGTTAGACACACATACACACTCTCCATGAAAACCATAAAAAGCAACCCAAACCACAACTAGGGTTAAAGCTTGTAGCTCTCCATAGAGAGGCTACAGCCATGAACTTGCTCATGTTACCTCACGAAGGTACTTGTTTTGAATGTTGTCAGGGTTTTGCTCTGTAGTCTCCTGTGTCTAATATTATGTTGTTTCATTCTCCAGACTGTCAACCATTGATGAATCTGGTTCCCTTTTATCAGATATCAGCTTTGATAAGACTGACGAATCTCTGGTAATAAACATGTGATCTCAGACTTATCTATTTTTCTTAACCCTGCTCTCTCAGGAGCACTTCTCCTGTTCTCTCTTTTGGACATTTCTATCTATTGTTCTCTTTGTTGATATGTTACAGATGCTGAGCTAGTAATTTAAAATATAAATCCACATACTCATTAAGAGATTGGCTTTAGTATTTGTTTAGTTTCTTTTTTTTTTTGGTACCAGGGATCAAACTCAGGTCCTTGTGTTTGTGAGGCAGGCAGCGGAACCATTGAGCTAAATCCCCAGCCCTAGTTTCTAGAAGTATAAATGTAAAATTCAAGATTTGGCATGAGGTTGAGTTTATTTAAGGGATCTCTATGAGCTGCATGTACTAATTGATTATATCTTGACTTATTAAAGCCCTAGCCAGCAATAAAAGCCAAAATTATATGTAGTCAGGGTTTATTTGCTGCTCTTAGGGTGAATAGACTTATACTATACCTCTGAATTTGTTTGGTTCTTGAGGAAAGCTTAGCCACACTTCATAATTAGAAGGAAACCAAGCTCCTGGAACTTCAGTTGAAAGAATGTGATGAGGATTTATAGGAGTATCTTTAATGATCAACAATTGTTAACATGTCTAAACTCTTACCCTGCTTTTATGAGGCAGTGTGCCCTTTTGTGATGGTGGTGTTTCTACATAAAAGGATATCTGATATTTTAGTTTTGGATATTCAGGAGATTGGTGGTTTATTGATTGGTATATCTTATCCATTGCTGACTGAAGCCTAGCAAACAAAAACAGTAAATCAGAGGAAGTTATTAGTGGTTGGTTTTCTGACATAGCAAAACAAGTGACAACTAATTGTTACATGACTAGGAGTTTTCTATTCAAATTCAGTGTATGACTAGGAAAAAAAATGACCATTTTATAGGTACTTATTAGGCAGCCCCTTTTTAAGAGCTTGTTTAGAGGTTCTAGCAGGCAGGGGAGCACAGCTACAAATACCCTTGAATGAAGAAACAGTCCTCCGCTATTGAGGGGTGGTTATCCTCTTTGACCAGGCACACAATTTTGCAGCTTCAGCTTTGGGAAGGATGCCCGTGTGAGGGAGACAGAGGACACTTGCCCAGCCAGCCAGATCAACTGAATCAACCCTGGTGATCAATGGGATGATGAGTGTCACAGCCAGATTGCCCTCACATCCAGCCACCCCTTTTTGAAATAAGGAATGATATACAATAGGTTTGGGACACCCTAATATAACAAGAACATATTAGCAGCTGATTTTTGAGCTAGACCTGTGCTATGATACCTGTTGTAACTGAAACAGAATCAAACAACCAGGAGCTAAAGTACTTAACCTTGAATCAGAGAAGTAAAATTAATTTAGCTGAGCTGCTATCTGCAGTATGCAACTGTTTCTAGATACTGTGTTTTCATTAACAATTAGGAGTAAGGAAATCACTGATAGATAGCTAAAATAAATTACAAATGGTTAAGTGAATTGAAACTAGACCATGGTAAAAAATAAATGATTCTTCAGTGGGGAAACTCTTTTTCTTTGGACTCCAAAGAGGGATGATAGAGAGATATAAACCTAAACTTCAACATTTAAAATGACAATATTGTACAGAACATCTGATTAGACAGTAGCAGTCCCTTAAGGGCAAGAATCCCATTGACTATGATCAGTATAGTTCCTAACATTCTGTAAGTTCTAAAACTAATTACAAAGATAATCAAAAATAAAGGACCAGGCACCAGAAATAATCACGACAGAAGTTGATTCTTTAACCTTTTCTTGCCTCTGTGGTATTGACTCCTGATTCTATTACAATAGCTTCAATTTTTGAAAGAAAGCATGTTAACTTGCTATAGACCTATAGCTACAACACTAGACCTTTCCTATCCCTGTCCTAAAATTGTAAGTATTCTGACTCAAGAAACCTTGAAAGTTCACTGTAAATTTATTCGCATGGGGCTTGTGGGAGGATTGCCCAAAGAAAGAAGTTAATAAAATATAATTGTCAACAGGATTGGGATTCTTCTTTGGTGAAGAACTTCAAACTGAAGAAAAGACAAAAAAGGGTATGTGTATTTTTTTTTTTTTTTTTTTTTTTTTTTTTTTTTTTTTAACAAAGTTACAACGAAAGAACTTTCTTCAGAAATTTTGCCATGATACTGTATTCCTACATGCTACTCTAGGCACTGTTTTTTGTTTTGTTTTGTTTTTTGGTACAGGGGATCAAACTCAGGTGCTTGCACTTGTGAGGCAGGCAGTGGAACCACTAAGCTAAATCCCTGGCCCTCCAGCCACTGTTAAACACATGTTATAAGCAAATTCATGCCGTAGGGGTGATATTGATATTCCTGTAGTGATTTGGGACACTGGTTTGGGCTGCATCTCAATTCATTCATATAGTAGAAAATGATATATTTACGGTTGTTTTGAATTGTCATATGAATTTTTTTTTCAGCTTTAATTGAGTTTATTGGTACATTTTAGGTATACAGTATAGTTACATTCATTGTTGGGATCTTGTACCTCTACATGACAAGTCTTGGTTCTCATTTTTTCCCCTTGTCCCTGCCCTCCCTTTACCCCCTCCTCCCCTCCCCATCATATGAATTTTTATGCAAGACTTTTGTACTCTAACAAAAGCTTCAGATGAAATGTGTATATAATAGGATATAGAGATCTATCTGTGTGCTTCTTTAGAGTATTTAATGTGTTTCCAAAGACTTCATGTTCCTAGATAGGATTACAGCTCTACTTTTTCTGGTATTGTCATCTAAATTTCTCCAAAACTTGTGCCTTTATTTTTTGGGGCATTGAGAACATTTTTGTGCTTGTACAACTTATTTTTCATATGACAGTGGGCAACAAAAGTGAGCACTTTTTTTTTTTTATTGTAGCCTTGATCCTTAGGATTTGCATCTAGTTGTCTGATGGGATGATTTAATCTTCTGTGCTTCACATATACTTGGCACTAAAGTAGTCTTTGCTCGCTCTCTAGCGTTCTACTAGCCAACAATTTGTTGATGGACCCCCTGGGCCTGTAAAGAAAACTCGTTCCATTGGCTCCACAGTAGACCAGGTAAGGATCAGGCCAAGAGAAAGGTGTTCTTGAATACATCAGAGATTAGTGACCCTGAGCATTAAAATGGCTAAGTCCAATGGGAAAATATGTTTGCCAGCTGCTCCTCAGACAAAGGACTATTATCTAGAACATATAAAGAACTCAAAAAAATCAGGACCACCCCAAATATAAAGACCTGATTCAAAAATGGGCATCTGAAATGAAGAGACATTTCTCAGACAAAGAAGTAAAAGCAGCAAATAAATACATGAAGAAATGTTCAACATCACTGGTCATTCAAGAGATGCAGATGAGGGCCAGGAATTTAGCTCAGTGGTTACGCTGCCTGCCTTGCAAGCACAAGGACCTGAGTTTGATCCCTGGTACCAAAAAAAAAAAAGAGATGCAGATGAAAACAACACTGAGATTCCACCTCACCTCAGAAAGAGTAGCTTCTATCCAGAAATCAACCAATAACAAATGCTGGTGGGGTCATGGGGAGAAAGGAACCCTTCTCCATTGTTGGTGGGAGTGCAGACTGGTGCAACCACTGTGGAAATCAATATGGAGATACCTCAAAGAACTAGGATTAGAGGTTCCATTTGACCCAGCTGTCCCTCTGCTGTGTATCTTCCCAAAATAATTAAAAGAGTCATACCACAGTGATATATGCTCACCAGTTTATAGCGGTACAGTTTATAGTAGCTAAAATTTGGAAACAGCCCAAATGCCCATCAACTGGAGATTGGATAAAGAAGATGTGGTTTTTCTATAAAATGGAGTACTACGCAGCCATAAAGAATGAGAGCCTAGAGTCATTCATAGGAAAATGGGATGCGTATTGAGGCCATACTCTTTAGTGAAATAAATAAGATACACCTATAAATATCGAATCGTTTCTCTGGTATGAAAAACAAAGTGTAAATAAGATCCAAATTATAAAAAAGAAAGGCTAAGTCCACAATGCAGTATTACATTGAGAGGTGTTTTATGAGAGTTTGTCTATGTTATAAGAGCCTATCATTCATGAGTAGAATTACTCTGATACAGTAAAATGCTTTCAGCTAGAGTCTTTACTGCTTATATGTCTATCCCTGTGACCTACATTTATATTTTAAAAAATGAGATTTCAACTTGAGAGTGTTTGGAGCTGTGACCATAAGACAGATTCAGGAATTTGTCATACTCCATAATATTCTATAATGGAAAGTCAGACTTGATATTCATCCTTCTCTCATTACTAATTTTATTCCAGGGGAATGAATCCATAGTTGCAAAAACTACAGTGACTGTTCCCAATGATGGTGGGCCCATTGAAGCTGTGTCCACTATTGAGACTGTGCCATATTTGACCAGGAGCCGAAGGAAAACAGGTCTTTTGAACTTGTGATTAAATTGCCTGTGTAAACCTACTGGTGAAATTTAAAAGTGGTTTCTTAGATCCTTCTTGAGACAGGAATTGGTCATAATGGGTAGTTTCCTACTGCTGCCTTCGGAGGACCAGAGATCTCTGTCCTTCAGTGCCTTCAGGTTGCTAGCCTGGCCTGTGCTACAAATGGATTAAGTAGTTTCTCTCTCTCTCTCTCTCTCTCTC